GGGAAGCCTGCTTCTCCCTCTCCCACTCCCCCTGCTTGTGTTCCTGTTCTCGCTGTGTCTCTCTCTGTCAAAGAAATAAATAAAATCTTTAAAAAAAAAAAAAAAAAAGAAAACCTAATAAACTAGGAATGGACAATTACACTCTAAATTGCAATATATCAGATACTGAATTTTGAGCAAAACCTTATTACATATAAACAAATTTTATTATAGTTATATTATGTATAATTATATATATATGTTAATATATATACATAATATATATATACACATCATATATATATTATATTAAATGTATAAAAAGGCTTATATATATCTCAGTCTCCCCCATCATGGCTTTATCATGTCTGTCATCAGGACTTTTCCTAACTCCCTATGGGTTGTACTTAGTTCCCTGTATAACCATGGGAAAGTTTGTTCTCAAGAGTTTTGTTTTGCCTTGGTGTTGGTCAGGAGCAGGATGCAATGGTAGCTGGGAACTCAGGGCCTAGGGCAGGGGGGTAAGCCTATCTCACACTGCATAGCCTGCAGGCCTATGAAAGGAGCTCCGCGCTGGACGGCTTTGCCCACTCCAGTCAGAGATCTGCTGCTCCAGGTGGGTGAGGAGGATGTTGCCATTAAGACCAGGAGACAGAAGAAGCAGAAGGAATCACCAAAGGAGGATGTGGCTTGGGAACTGGTGGTCCTGCAGAGGATGCTGCAGGAGTGGAAGACTGCCTGGGCTCTGAGTGAGTGAAGGGGCAGGGGTGGGTCCAGAGATACCAGTAAACATGAGAGGGAGGAGGTTCTTACCTTGGACTCATGTTTCTCAATCTATGAAAAGCCATCCCTCTCTTGTGAAAACATACAAATCTGGTTACCTCACCAGGTTGTCACTAGCGGAGAGCCTTTCTATCTAACCCTCACCAGATGGTTTTCTTTTCATTTCCCTCCCTGCGGCACAGTCATTGAGTGGCACCATGAGACAATAGAGGGCCTGCTGCAGGGCTTGGTGGATGTGCATGATGACATTCGGATCCAAGCCATCATTACATGTGCCACAGCTGCTTTGGAACGGCCCCGGATTGCCACCAGCCAGGGGGACTCAGGTGAGAGCCAGAACTTAACTACTTGAGAATATAAGCAACTCACACAGCCGTAGACAGTGATAACTGGTGTGGACCTTCGAGCTTATCTGAGAACATTTTACAAACGAAACCAAGGCCCAGAGACTGGCCTGAATATACACAGCTTATCAGCAAGAGATAAAATTCCTGACTTCTGGTCCAGTGCTTTTGGCACTACATTTCATCACATTTTGTTTGCTCAGCAGCTTCAAGGAAGTTCACATTGTTCCACCCTGAGAGATCCCATTTGTAATAGCCCAAAATTATATATAGTTTGTGTGTATATACATATACATTATATATGTATATACACACACTTTCCCTTCCTAACTCTATTTTATTTATTTATTTTTAAAAGATTTTATTTATTCCCACATCGGGCTCCCTGCTCTGCAGGAAGCCTGCTTCTCCCTCTCCCACTCCCCCTGCTTGTGTTCCTGCTCTTGCTATGTCTCTGTCAAATAAATAAATAAAATCTTTAAAAAAAAAAAAAGATTTTATTTATTTATTTGACAGAGAGAGACACAGCGAGAGAGGGAACACAAGCAGGAGGAGTGGGAGAGGGAGAAGCAGGCTTCCCGCTGAGCAGGGAGCCTGATGCAGGGCTTAATCCCAGGACTCTGGGATCATGACCTGAGCTGAAGGCAGACACTTAACGACCGAGCCACCCAGGCGCCCTCCTAACTCTATTTTAGCCCTTCTTTTGACAGCACATCTGAAACCCAAACTGAACTAATCACCCTCACCATGGACCCCTCCCCAAGTTCCAAACCTCAATCAGCAGCACCACAATCCATCTAGTTTCTGAGCCAGGGCCCTGGGAGTCATCCTGGACAAACCCTTCCTCTTCCCATAACCAAACGACCAACAGATTCTACTGATTCTGCTTCCCTCTTTGTGTATTCATCAGTCAACAGAGAAATATAAGAGGTCATTCCCTTCCCCCCAAATTCCCAGTCCCAGTCCCACCCCATGCCACTCCCCAGGGTAACCAATGTTCAGTTTGGCATTTCACGTCTTTCTCGATGCTTTTGGAAATAATATGCCAACATACATGTAGGCTTTTCTATTTATTATAAAAATGAGTGTTGAATTTTACTACCCATTTTCTATTTTCTCTCCTTTAATTTGTGGATATGATGAATTCTGTTGTTAAATTCTTAGAATCTAACAGATCCATGATATATTATTCTTTTTTTACTCCACTGGGTTTGATTTGTTGATATTTTAGAATGTTTTACTACATTTATAAGTGAAATGAGTAGTTTATTTTTGTTAAGTTTTAGTTTTTGCTAGCTTTATAAAATGAATTAAGGACTGAGCCATTCTTTCTGATGGTCTTAAATCTTTTGGAAAAGAAACGTCAATAGCTTTTTGCTTTACTAGCAATAAGTAGTTAAAAAGGAAAATTTCCCATCTACAACAGCCAGAATCTGAGGAGCCAGTTTAACAAGACACAGGACCCAAATGATAGAAACTATCAAGTGCTATTGGAAGGACACAAAACCAACTGGCTTACTTATTTCTCAGATGCCCTCAGATACCTTTTATGTGAAGCCTGCACTAATGCTTCTTCCTCTCTGCTGCTGGTAGCATCCTAATAATATTCTGTCCTAATATGTATCACTCTGTCGTAACTGTCCATTCACTTTTCTGCCATTCCTACCAGACAAGGAACTCCTTAATGGCGGGGACTAATTTTACTTCTACAGAAGTGTCATGTTTTTAAAGTTTCACATATTTCCTAGCTGAGTTCTAGATATGGGCATTTTTGCTACAAGTTTTCGAATTTGCTGCCCCATCTGCCAGAAAACTCTTCATTTCTCTTTACCTGATTAACGTCTATATTTGTCCTTTAATTTTCAGCTATCACCTCCTCTGAGGAGTTTTCCCTGCCCTACCACCCAGACTTGGGTCATTGTCCCTACTATATGCTTCCACACATATACTTTTTTTTTTTTTTTTTTTTTACATAAGCTCTGCATCCAACATGGGCTTGAACTCACGACCCCGAAATCAAGAGTTACATGCTCTTCCAATTGAGCCAGGCAGGTGGCCCCCCACACACATATACGTTTTTTTTTTATTATAACTGCTTGTTTCCTTGGGTATTAAATGGATGATATATTTGCAATGCCTGGCACAGAGAAAACCTTCAATAGGCAGCCACAGATATTATAATCTTATCCCCAAATCTTCCACAAAGAACACTTTTGTCTGCCCCCAGAATTATGCCTTCATGTGATCCCTTTCACATGTCCTAGGTATCTAGATTTTAACCTGTCTTTGTCTTCTTTCTTCCCCATACCTTCCCAAAGAAAACTATCTTACTCATTACTTTCTTCAAATTCTCATTTGACTTCTACATATTCCCGTAAAATATACCTATTCCCATCTAGCCTATTCTTTTTTTTTTTTTTAAGATTTTATTTATTTATT